GAGTCCGCTCAGATTCAAAGCAGTAGCTTTCAGGAATCTGTCGGATAGTCACCAGAGGGCGCCGGTGCCTGCACCATGCATAGTAGGAGAACCTGAATGTTGCTAAGCTTAAAAATCATCATAATAAAAATAAGCGGATAACATCTAAAGAAATATATTTACATTCTGTAACACCTAAATAATTTTAGGTGTTGGAGAGAACAATAAAGTCAGCTACCATGTTTTGGGTTAAAATTAATTTAACAAAGAATTTTATTGAATATTTCTGAGTCAAGAATTGAATTAGGGTCAACCTAATACATTCAGAAGAGAATGTCAGTCAATCTCTTAAGATTAACAATTTATTTAACAATTTATTTAGCACCATTTATTTAGCACCGAAGCAGATATTGATAGTTCACACTTCATAAAACCTTAATTGCAAAAAGAAACCCCTCAAAATTGCAGCCAGGGTCTGGAAGTTACAAATGTGTTTCTAGCATAGCACCACTAACGCAATTAATTCTCAAATTTTCTGAGCTTATGATGGAGCTTTCTAAGCCAATGTTAAACCATAACATAATTTTTAGAAAATAATTTTGTGTAGGTTTAAGAAATTTTGGTAACTAATGCCTATATTTGAATGCCTTACCCCAAACATATGACAATACAAAAAGAAAGAAATAACAGCATAAAAAATAAAGGTACTTTTAGATATTAATAGACATCTAACAATACTTGGTAGGTGAAATTTTCCATATGTGTCAAGGTTTTCTTGTTATGAAACTACGGAACCTCAAGAATCTCATTCCACAGGGATAAAGCAGAGACCAAAGTCTGAGCGTTACTTTCATTCATAGACTTAATCCAATTATCTGTTGCACTTATGTATATTTAATAAACAGGATACACTTAAACTGGTTTAAAAGGTATATTCGATTCATCTGTGCCAAGGCAATAACACAAGCATGTATGTCATTTTTGTTATATGTCACCTGGTAAAACCAACTCATAGCAATCCCATGTGACAGAAGAGGATGCCCTGTAACATTTTCTAAGCTGGAACCTTGACAGAAGTAGATTATCAGGTGAAGGCATCTCCACGCCTTCTTTGAAACTACTGCCACTCACTGCCATCAAATCAATTCTGACTCATGGCCACCTAACAGGCAGGGCATCCCTGGGCGTCCATTACGGTAAGCCTCTTTAGAGGAGCCTCTTTAGATGAGTAGAAAGCCTTACAGTTTCCAACTGCTGACCTCATGGGTAACCACTCAATAAGCAACCCACCCAGCCTCCAGGTTTCCTGGGGGGAAATCACACATTGGATTAAAATCTCAACCATCGAGCTGGCACGCACTTAACTGTTGCGCCACCAAGGCTCCTTAAGAAAATGTATGTTTCAGTTTAAATATTCTGAGGAAATTGCACTACCAATTCATAATATTTGGTCCAATGTGTGATAAATATTTGTGCGTGGCACTTTCCACAAACTGTCCTTCAATTGTCAAAGGAAGTCTATAGGGCAATTCTGATGGGTCATAAAAATGAAGATGCTTACCCTACTGAAAAAATGATGATGATTATTATAACAATTACAATTATTTCTGCTATATTTTAAAGGAAGTAGATCTATCACAGCCAGGTATATGTAAGCTGTGGCTATATAATTCTTGGAAAATTCTATGAAGAGATCTATCAATTTAGTAGCTAATATATATATATATAATTTCCTAATCTTTGAACGATGTGGAGGAAAACATATCTATATTACAACAGTATTTTTTAATGTTTCTTCTGACCAAAGGATAGTCAAGGACCCCTGGTGGCTCAAAGCTTAAGCTTTTGATGGTTAACCAAAAGGTTGGTGGTTTGAACACACCCAACAGCCCCTTGGGAGAAGGCTGTAGTAATCTCCTCCTGCAAAGGTTACAGCCTAGAAAACCCTAGGGGGCACTATGAGTCAGAATCAATTTGATGGCACCCAGCAAGGGATACTATGAAAACATCTGTATCCTCGAGAGGATTGATGCACATGAATGGTTGCCAATGACTACTTCTTTTGAAAGCAGTCTATCCAAATGACATCCTCAATGTCGAGCGTTAAAAGCTGTTCTTAGGAAACCGTTTACACCGAGATCCTGCTGCCTCTGGAAGTTACAGTCAGAACTAGCGATCCTAGCACCACTGTTGCATGCTGTAAGAAATAGCACCCACGGTGTTAATATTTAAACTGAAAATCCCCAAACAACAACTGACTCAGAGCAACCGCAGAGGAAAGAGGAGAATTGCTCCTTAGAGTTTCCAAAGCTGTGAATGTGCGTGGGAACAGAAAGCCTCATCTTCCTCTCATGGAGAGGCTGGTGGGTTCGAGTAGTTGACCTTGTGGTTAGCAGCCCAAAGCCCAGCACCTCAGTAGGATCCATAAAAAAAAACTTTTATTAGCCTGGAAAAATTAAACATTGCACATGGCCATGTGCCTTACTTACTTTTAAAGGTACAGAGAGTAACAAGTATACCTTTCATATTTTCATAAGGCTCATTAAGTTGTAGATGAACTTATAGTTCTAGTCTTACTGTATGTTTGATGATTTATTTGAACTGCTGATACATTCCAAAGCTTTGCATTTATGACTTCTTTTGTCTTAAGAAATCATGGAAATGTAAGATTTCTGTAAAGTGTTGAAAGTTTTCAGCCACTTCTCAAAAGCCATTGATTAAATATCTGCTGCATCACAGCCAGGGAGGTGAGAAGCAGGAATACATGCAAAGTTCAATTAGATAGAGTTCTTGCCAAAGAGAAACTCTTTAAAAAAGTGGACAACTAAAAAAAAAAAAGAAAAAGTGGACAACTATAAAGTTATTGATGATAATTTCAATATTCATAAATTTCTATTAATATGGGCATTTTACTTTCATAAGAATTTGAAATTTGTAGTAAATATAATTTTTCCTCTCTAGACTTGAAAAACCAACTCAAACAATCAACAGAGCTAAAACAAGCCGAACTCTTCTACTCACTGCTTCTGTAGAGCTAGTATAACAAAGTGGAGATCGACATACATTGCTAGATAAATTAATTAATACTCCACTCAGACTTCCACCCCAAGTGCCTAGATATGTTAGAAAAGGGTTAGACTTAGGTCTGAATCTAATAATTATTTCCAATCTTAAAAAAAAATTATTTGTAATAGGATCTATATGTTTGCTCACAAATGCAGAGTAATAGGATACCAAAGCATTTTTGTCACCATCATCAGACCAGTTGTTTGCCATATGTACACATAATCTCCACATGACTGATTTCTTTACTTTTGAATGAATTTAATTGGCTGTCAACTTTCAATGCATCCTCTCTAAGAAACTACACATGTAAGGAATTTTATACACAAGTAGACTCCTTCTGTTTTTACACTCTGGAACTAATCATGTTTACTTCTTCTATAATTCTAGGAAAACATTATATATCCCAGAAACAAGCACACACAGACACACACACACATGCATTTGCAAGGCAATGTCTCATTGTTTTGACTCCAATGTGCTCTCCTCTCTGAATGATATTTCTTGAATGAAAATATTTTTCATCTCCAAAATCACATGAGTAAAATATCCACTGTGATTTTCATTCACTGATTTCCACTGCCAAACTTGATAGAGAACAGAAAAATTGATTCTGCTTGGCTTAGAAATATAGATCTATACCAATGTAGGTTCATCTAAAATGGAAAAGGTAGTCTGGCCAGTATTTGATGTATTTGGATTCAGTGACTCTAGTGAGGAGCAGAAGAAGCCCTAGTGTATAGTGGTTATGTCCTGGGCTGCTAACCTCAAGGTCAGAAGTTTGAAACCACCAGCCTCTGTGGTAGAAAGACAGGGTTTTCTACTCCCATAAAGAGTTATAGTCACAGAAACTCACAGGAGGTGGTTCTTCTTTGTCCTATAGAGTTGCTACGAGATGGCATCAACTTGATTACACTGAGTTTGGCTGGGTCTTAGGAATCAAGAACAGTATATAGATGATTTGGAAAAAGAAAAACCGTGTCACTCAGCCACCACTGAATGTCACAAAATCTCACATTAATTTATAAAATCTGTGAACAATTTCAGACTACCCCAGGGAAGAATGCATGCATGCTCCTTAGAGGTGAGGATGGCGAGCTCATCTCATGTACTTTGAACAGGTTATCAGGAGAGACCAGTCCCTGGAAAAGGGCATCATGGTTGGTAAAGTAGAAGGGCAGCGATGAAAGGGAAGACCCTTGATATAGATTGACACATGGCTGCAAGAATGGGCTCAAACATAACCAGGCTCCAGTGGTGGTTGGTTCTGTGGGACACAGGATCACTGTGAGTCAGAACCAACTCAACAGCACCAAACAAAAACAGCAACAGCAAGCAAAGGCCACAACTTGAAAATGTTGATATGTTGAGCATTTTCTTTACTGGGCCTAGATAAAAATTTTCCAGAATGAAATATTGGCTGCTTAATTATTATTTCCAGATATAATTGAGTGCTACTTTGCAAACTATTATATTGTAGGTGTTATAGAAAGGGGTGCTGAGAATGTCTACCACTTCATATATATTTAAAATTTTATTTTTAATATCCCCAAATTGATGAACTAATATTATATGTGTGTTGCACCATATATATGACATATGTATGACATCCACATATATTTGACACTATATTTCTATGAATGTGTATACATATCGATATATAGATATAGTGTGTTATATCTATACATATAAATATGTAGATATAGTATGTGTGTGTCACATTTCAGGTTATTCTTTAGGAACATAAAAATCTAATCCCTTTAGAAAGTAAATTTGGAATAGGATGTATCTATTACATCAGTACTACACATACATTATTTTAATTTAGATTTAGAGGTCAGAAAGTAGAAACAATACATTTTGATTATCTCAACAAATTAAACAAACATCCTAAATAAACATTAATTTATACAAATGAATAAAACAAGGTTATCATAAAATATGTATAATTTGTGCAAAATTAAATAGACATATGCTTATTTTCAGAAATTATTATACTTCCTGGAGGAAAAGGTCAGCTTATTTGAACCAGTATAAGTAGTTTGACGTTACTCCTGGGAAACAAAGGTTGTCAGTACAAGACCCTCCATAACTTGGCGGACAGGCTGAACATGGTACCCCTACTTTGTATGGTGCCTCTCCAATCCAATTGCCCCTAGAAGAAAATCAAAAGAAGAAAATGTTTTACTCACCAAAATAAGAAAGCAGATTGTCTTTGAAGACATGATCATATATGATTATATCTTGTGAAGTTTGTAGCTTTAGAAAGACACTAAAAAATCAATTTCTAATTTGAACAATAATGCATTCTTGTTTCCTTAATACTTCTCCTCTGAGTAAGTTACGATAATTCTCTTCACAGGTAATTAAAGCTAAAGCTCTAGAAAGAAACAACACTTTAAGTTATCTGATGTTATACACAATGTTCACCCCTTTCACCGTATCTGTCCCTTTCTAAATAAGCTTTCTAGACACAGTACAAACAACTAGCAAACCTGTAATAGGCTGCCGTGTCAGAGCAGAACTATGTTGCATAGCGTCTAGTCAGAACATAATCAAATACACTTATTTTTCTTAAAATCATGCCAATCTTCTAAAAATGTAAAAAAAAACAAAATCTCAATGTTCTCTGGTAGTCCCAGAAAAGGTTACATGAGTAAGAAACAAAATCCATGTAAACAATAACTTTCAAATATCCACAATATTTGTTGTTAATGTTGTGTACTATTTTAGGTTGACAATCTTCCATAAAATTCAGAGATAAGAACAACTGGATTTCTATAATAAAAGAATAATGATTTCAGAAACTATTAAAAGTTATACCAATTTCCATACATACGTTTATAGTTATTACTATTATTTTAGTTAGTGCTATTAGTTTTTAATAAGCTGGACATATTTAACTGTTTTTGAATAGTCAATGTTACTCTTTATTTGTACTGATGGCCATTAATACAATAGCAAATTTGGGGATAATAAGCAATAGTCAAAATAACCTTATTGCTCTCAAGCTCTTTCTACCACAAGGGAAAGGTAACTATTTTCAGTGGAATGATTACTAAATAGATTATCTAGAAATAGTGATGTAAATGAAATTGAATTGGTAAAGGAAACTTTGAGGTATTGATGATGTAATGTTAGAATTGAAGATAACTCAATAGAATATTAAAAACCCAAAATATGAAATACAACACTTTTTCTTCTTGAAGATGTAAATAATGACAAAGAGTGACACGAACCGTAAGAGTATTTGTATAGGACATGACAATACATGTTTGTAGTCAGTTAACATTTTAGATTTAGCTGTTGTTGCAGCTACTGTGCCAATCCATCTCCTTGACAGTCTTCATCTTTTTTGGCTGTTCACCCACTTTACCAAGCATGATGTCCTATTCAGGTACTAGTCTTTCCTGATAATATGTCCGAAGTTACACGAAACAAAGTCTCACTGTGTTCTCTTCCAAGAAGCATTCTGACTGTACTTTTTCCAAGACAGATTTGTTTGTTCTTTTGGCAGTCCATGGTATTTTCAATATTCTTCTTCAATATCATAATTCAAATGCATAGGTTCTTTGTTAGTCTTTCTTATTCAATGTCCAACTTTCACAAGTATTTAAGGTGATTAACAATAACATGGCTTGGGAAAGGTGGATGTTAGTCCTTAAAGTGACACCCATTTCTTCAATACTTTAAATATGTCTTATGTAACACACTTGCTCAAAGCAATATGTCTGTGTTAGTCCAGGTAGACTAGAGAAACAAATCCATATACTTAAATGCTTATGAGAGAGTTTTATATAAAGTGTAATCGTACATTAAGAAAGTATTCCAACCCAGTCCAGTTCAAGTTCATGAGTCCCATATTAGCCCATATGTCTGATACCAATCTATAAAGTCCTCTTCAGATTCATGAAACACATGCAATGATGCTGAATGCAGAACAATCCCAGGCCAGTGGGTAGAAAGTCTTTGGATCCAGAGGCTCTGTAAGTATCTCAGTGCTGGCAGAGGTCTCTATATGGCTTCTCTAGTTCCCAAGGCACGACGTAGTACCATGTGTCTTGTCAGTAGAGCGTCTCCAAGGGAATGAACAGTCTCTCTAGCCTCCAAAGAGGAAAAACCAGATTTCCTAGAATTCTCAGGAGAAAGCCATGCCCACACAGAGGCCTCATTGGCTATGCTTTGATTGACAGCCTAGACTCCACCTCTTCACTCTTAATCCTCTCAAGTACCAAATTGACACCAGATTATGTATGTAACTACCACAATGTCTTTTGATTACTTGACTGTGGCTTCCATGAGCATTGATCATGGATGCAAGCAAATTAAACCTTTTCTCCATATTTCATGATGCTATTATCTATTGATCCACTTGTGAGGATATAAGGTTTCTTTACGTTGAGTTGCAATCCATAATGAATACTGGAGTCATTGATCTTCAACAGCAAGTACTTGCTCACATCCTCCTTGATTTCAGCAAAGTTGTATCATTTGCACATGGCAGGTTGTTAATAAAAGTTAATTTCATCATACTAGTTTCTAGGATATTAAACTTTATGTGCTCCATTTTATTTTGACAATTTCTAATTTTCTTAAACTTGTGCTTTGTACATTCTAAGTTCCTATATTGATATATTTGCAGCTGTCTCTTCTCATGCTGTTGTTGTTGTTGTGCCCCATTAGCAAATGAAGGTCCCCAAGGCTTTATAACATGCATGTCATTATGGTTGATTCCGCTTTGAGAATGAAGCTCTTTATCAGTTCTATTTTGAGTGTCTTTCAACTGGAAGGGCTCATCTTCTGGTACTAAGTATGACAATGTTCCACTGCTACTCATTAGGCGTTCAATAGCTAATTCATGCAAAGTGGAATCTATTCCTTCTTCATTATCTGTTCTCTGTTCTTAATCTGGAAATTCTGCTGAAACCTGTTCACTTTGGGTGATCCAGCTGGTTATTTGAATACCAGTGAAGTAGTTTCCCACATCACAGCAAGAGGCAAGCCAACACAACACAACTGACAGACAAGTGGTGGTCTCCATCACCCAGGTTACAGAATAATCATTCTTCATTACAACTGTAGGATACTTGCTGGCACAAGAGTTAAACATACAGTCGCAAAGCAAAAGGTTGATGATTTCAGTCTACCAGGCAATTCACAAGAGAACGATGTGACAGTTTGCTTTGGTAAAAGTGTGTAGCCTTGGAAATCCTATCAGGCTCTTCTACTCTGTCCTAGAAGGTTGCTGTGCATTGGAAAGGATTCCATGATGGTGGCTTTATCGGAATGTTACCATTATAGTCCTCTAGCATGCTAACCCACTGTCTTCATTTCCTGGGCGTAGAGTCACAGTCTCAGAAACTCACAGGGCAGGTCTGACCTGACAATAGGTTTGCTATTAGTCGGCATCAACTCAAGGGGAGTAAATTTTTTATTTTGGATACATCATCAGATATTCTCTCTCTATTTTATTTCAAAATGTATTAGAACACAAATTACTTAAAGGCTATTTTTAACCTTGCTTCTAGTGAATATCATGTATTATGTATTATGTATCATGAATCATGTATCAAGTAGCATTTTACCTGGAGATTTCATAATATATATATATATATATTCCTATTGATTTCCTATGATAATCCTAGTGAATTCCTATGATATTAAATATATGTTTGTATGACTATACTATGTGTGTTTAAGACATCATCATTGTAGTTACATGTAATTATCATTGTTACAATATCTATGCTGATTGTATCTAAAGGCAAACGTCTTTCACAATAGATTCACTGACATATTTTTTTGTCTTATTCAACAATGATTAAAATTATAATATTGCCTGACAATGAGATAGAACACAAAGCAGAGAACAAAAATTGTTCTTTGTCTTCAAACTGCCAAAACAATAATGTCCAAGTAATAAGGAAAAATTATGTTGACTAATCCTTAAAATAAAAACCTATTATTTTTATCTATTAAAATATCTAGGGAAAAAGGTTACACTGCTCAGTTTTATTGTAAATTTTCACAATAGAGTGAATCTTCAATTTTTAGGGAAATCAAATATTAATTTTATTCTCTTCAATCATGTATGTCACTTTGGAGAAACAATGGTAAGAGTTTTCACTTTTAAAAAAGCATGTAAAATAAACCAGATAACTGAAAAATATTAGAACATTCAAGCCATGGAATAAAAACAAATTTATTGAATGATGACACAATAATCTCTTTGACCTTTTGGGACTATTTGGCATCAATCTGTCAGGGAGTAAAGTCTTAATAAGAAAAGAAGTTTGCAGAAAAAATGTAGAACAATGACATGACTTTAATATATTATAAAGCAATGCAGACATATTCCACTTTACAAACATCCTCATTTTAATAATTATCAGGAGGAGACCATTGGGCAAATTGTGTATCTTTTCTGACTTTGTAAAAGATATTGCCAATGGCACCCTACCATATAAATGAGTAATGCAGTTATTTTTTAAGCATTTTCTCATTCCCTCCTCATGCTACGATAGCTGGAGAAACTGTTGGTTTGGAACTTGCTTTGGAAGACACCACAGTTATCATAAATCCTTTGCACATTTTTGGTATTTATTCCAAATGGAAACAGAATCATATCTAAATATTAGAGCATTTTATCATCTGAACAGCTGTTATCAGAAAGGCATTTTTAAATGATGTAAGTTGTTTATATCTAGTTTATAAAGAATGGTTCTAAAAATGAGCATATTTAATACTTTTGACTGATTTTCTTAATATCTTTTTATACATGCCACGTGATGAAATTTCTGTGTAATTTTTGTACTGCTATCTAAATTGTGGAAAATTTTAATTTTTAAAAATCTCATAATGGTTAAATCTCCTCATTTTATACTAACACCTTAGCTACCTGTGATATTGGTAATTAATCACTTTTAATCTTACTCTAAAAAATTAAGGAAGAACTTTATTCCAGCTATTTTGCTTTTGTGGTGAAAAGGTAAGTCAACACTCTAGTCCTGATAGATGAAAATATTGCGATGTTTCTAAGTGTCTTAAGTTACTAATTTCTGAGATGCCTTTTATATAGCTAGCTATCCATGTCAACCTGCATATAATTAGAGTTTCTTTTCCATTTACCATAGCTAAAGAAAAGGATGATGATGACGAAGGGTTTAGTAATTAGTAGTATCCCCAATTGTTTTTGTCTACAATGTAAAGCTCAACTTGTTCTTATGAAAAGGAACTCTTTGTCAGAAATATAGAAGTGATGATGAATATGAGCGCTAGAGATTAACATATTTAAGATTTACTCATACTATCTACCTGTCAACAATATCTATAAAACTGTAGATTTGTAACCTCATTAAAGGATCTGGGAAATAGAGTTCAAACAGGCACTTACTTTGGAGCATAATTGCATACCAAGTACACGGCACGTCGCCACACAGATCCCCAAACATTCATGTTTTGACAAGTATGAATTGCACATCCAATCCTGTTGGAGGTGGCCCAAACCATCTGTGAAATTAAAACAAAAATCCCTTCATCAAAGTCAGAGATTAAAAAAATACAACACCTGCCCACCAAAATAGCATGATTTATTTAAATATATAAACCCAAAATTAATAAAGGACTCCAAATAACCTGTGTGTAATGTGTGCACATCGGGCCATAGCACCGCATAGGACATCTGGGGTTGCAATCTTGGGGGTATGGAAATGCATAGTCCTTCACTTCATCATACCACGGCTTGATCAACTGGAGAATAGATCGATACCTAGGTATCAAAGGGTAAAAATATGGAATATTAAATATAGCAGTGGCTAAAAGTAGTAGACTCAAGTTAAATTGGGAATCAATGCTTTATGTGTGGATTAGTCATGATGAGGCAAGAACATAGCCATCTCTCATCACTACCACCACCACCTGGTGGAATCCTCCTTTCTTCCAAGTGCCTGGCGGCGGTGATTCTAGAGTTCTCGAAGTATGAATCGGGTTGTTTTGAAGACAGAAATGCAATTATTTTAGGATTTATCACATATATCTAATCTAATTAACACCAAATTTTCCTCTCGGAGAATTTTATAAACAAAAATTAGATCAATATATTTAGTAGGGCACAGATACTAGAAGAGCTGTGTAGTTGTTTCACCCTTTTAACCTGTATGGAAGAGAATGGCAACTTGGAATGAGAGATGATGACATTCCATAGGAATATTATACTATCAATAAGAACAATTACCCATAGTTACAATTACTTAGTGCTGGATTGAGACATCTCGTGTAACAGGATTAGAGAGTAGAGCAAGTTCACAGTTATTGCAGCTTTAGTTGGAAACTATCATGTCATAAGTTCTCATCCTGATTCTTCACCCAAATCCATATTTTATTGCAGTAAATGCAAGAATGGCTTCTGCCAGAGCCTATACACATTTCCTGAGATGAAATAGCCTGATCATTTCAAAAATTTTGTTGAGGGTGGTGAAGAACATAGGTTAATCTTTAGATCACACAGGCTGGTGTACTTCTATGTGACTCAAATAAAGAATGAAATCCAGAGGAGGGTACTAAATCTCAATCTTAAACACCCAGTTTGTGGAACATTATAGATATAGTGGAAACCCACAATCCATTTGCAGGGTCCCTAGGTGGACTGAGTCTCAGGTGAACCCCACTGTTCTTAATCTAGGAATGTAAGTAGCCTGCATATCAGACAAAGAACATTGTGAAGGGGATTTTAGTCGGTGTTGTTTGGCTGGACTGTAACTCCTTATCATCAGATCTCCCTTTTGAGCCATTTTGAATTTATTCTGGTTTTAAGGTATTTTTGGCTTTCTATTCAATTGAAGTTTTTCTCTGTTTTATCTGTTCATTGTTGCTGGGTGGGTCATTTATTGTTTTTAGTCTTGTTTCATATATTTCTCTGCATTGGGAAGTCAGGATGGGTGGCTCTATGAACACAGGAACAGGATAAAAAATCACCTCAGGACATGGGAGGGGGAGATGGGAAGAAGGGAATGGGATTTCAACAGAAAGGAGTAGCAGAAGGAATGCAGTGTTTCAAAGTCAATTGTGGTGATGAATGCACAACCCTTCTTATGATGACTGAAGTGTGGAAGTGATTGTCAATTATATCCCAATAAAACTAACAAAAAGGAAAGAAAGAAAGAAAGAATGAACACAGGCTAAGAAAATGTTCCAAGAATGAATGGGGAGATGGTTCTTATTAGGCCCTTTTAACTAACTGAATAACATTTGAACCCATCTAAAGTATTTACAGGGAAAGCACCTGTCATTGAAATATTGTGAGCACTCCAATAAATATTTGCTGATATGACTTAAAATTGGTGTCACTACATCGGACTTCATAAGAAATAAAGCCATGTGAATAAATTGAACCATTAAAACTGCTCCTACCTTCCAGTTCGTACAGACAAATTTTGGCCCAAAAATCTCAGCAAGTAAGAAGGTCCATGCTCCCAAATGCAAGTAGCTGCCCAAGTCTCTGCAGATTTTGCAAGATTTTCATCCCAAACCTAGGGGGGAAAAATACCTTCAGTTTCATTGATTTTCTGGTACCCATAAAAATTAAGGAAAGAACCAAGCTGACAATTTGTTAGGATTATTTCATTTTCATTTCTGAGATTATTTTAACCAAAGGAGAGACAATGCACACCAAAATTCCATAAAGCACTAGGAGTCCTAGGATGGTGCAAATGGTTAACTGTGCAATCACACACCCAAAGGCTGGAATGAAGGACCCCATCCAAAGCACTTCAGAAGACAGGCTGAGTCAGCTGCTTCCAAACGGTCACCGCCTTGAAAACTCTGGAGCGGCCCCTCTGTCTAGGCACGTGTCGCGATGAGTTGGAGTCACCGTAACCCAATGGGAACTAGCCGCACAACAACCTAAGACAGTCCGGTTACACCACAGGAAACCATATTCTCTTCGCAATGCCTGCACATCAATTTCAGTAAAGGATTTTACTAGTTCCCTGTGATTGACTCCAGTTCATGGTGACTTCGTCAAACTGGGAGCCATACAATAGTCAGTGGCTGACCTGGCTAACTCTGACTCATGGAGACTTCATGTATGTCAGTGCTCTCCAGGATTTTCCATGGATGATTTTTTTCATAGTACTTGGCCAGGCCTCCCCTGGTGACTCTGGATGGACTTGCTAGCATTTGGGTTAGCAGCCAAGAATACTAATTGTTTGTACCACTCAAGGAAACTAAAGTGCCCAGGCTTTCTAACAAGACATCCTTGAGTAAACTTGAACCTCTCACTGACTGATTTTTCATGCAGCATGACAATTGACATTGTCTGGGAATAAAGACTCCTGTATTCTTATCCTGGATCTGTGACTGAGAACATGCCACGTATTATCTCTGCATTCAGTTAACTCCTTTGCTATGTACAGAGAGGAGATAAGGTCACCTCTGGTTTCTCTTTCATCTTCAACTTTTCACTATTTAAATATAGTCTCCATACCTCCACCTCAAGGCCAGAAATTCAGTTGTATTAGTCTATGACTTGCTTAGTTCTGTTTTACTCCATAGCACTAGAGAGAGCCAATCTGGATTATTTTCAAAATAATTTTTAAAATTTAAGGTATTTCACAATTAAAAAGAATTTAGCATACTCTAATCCTATCTTTTGTTTCCTTGAGTGGCACAAACAGTTGATACTCTTGACTACTAACACAAAGGCTAGCAAGTCCATCGGGAGTCACCAGGAGAGGCCAGGCCAAGTACTTATGAAAAAAATCAACCATCAAAAATCCTGGAAAACACAGTTCTACTCTGCCATGAACGGAGCCTACATGAGTCAGAGTTGACAGCAACTGGTGTAATAAGAAGTATCCTACTTTTATATTCATTTGTACTTTAAAAAAACTAATTATTGTGAATGTTAACAAACAAACCAAGAACTTCAAATTAAAAAAATGTCTTATCATTGCATCTTTTGTTGACATTGTTAAAAGGGATTTTGGCATGTAGAAGATGCAGTGTTACCGATTCTCATCAGTTTTTCCTGTGTGCAAGTATCATAAATGAATTGTTGGAGAATGCACTGAATTATCAGATAGAGGTGTATTGTCTTTCTTGCTTCCAGAATTATCTCTTTTAGAAAACTAAACTCAGATACTGCTAATTTAATTCCAAGTCATGGAAACTTTATGAGTGTCAGAAAAAGGATTGTGCACCACAGGGTTTTCAATGGGCAAGAGATCACCAGGCCTTTCTTCTGAGGCACCACTGGGTGGTTTGGTAGTTACATAATCTGGTGTCAACTTGATACTATTAAGAGTGAAGGGGTGGAGTTTAGCCTCTCAATCAGGTTGCAGTTTGCTGGCCTCATTTGGAGGTGCAATGGAGATAAATAGCTCACTGGAGGCCAGACACACTCTCTCCGCTTGTCTCCCTGCTACACGTTTCTGTTGAAAAGCCAGAAGGAGATACATTGATGGAGCCAGAGCCCTGGAGCTGGAGAAGCCAAGTGGATACTCACACCAGCACTGAGCTGCTTCCACCACCTCTGGACTTTCCACCCACTGGCCTGTGATCTTTCTGTATTTGGTGTCATTGCATGTGTTAAGTGAATCTGAAGAGGAATTTATAGGCTGGTATCAGACAAATGGGCTAATATCAGATGTATGGACTTGATCTGGACTGGGCTGGGATGTTTTCTTAATGGAAATTTTCTCTTTGATATAAAATTCTCTCACACACACATGAGTGTCTCTGGATTTGTTTCTGTAGTCAACACAGACTAACACAGGTTGACTCAAACTGTCAAACTTTTGTTGAACAGATGAGTGCTATAAACATTTGCCTGTCTTTACCTCCCTGAAGGAATATGCTGGGAAGTGTAATAGGCTCCCAGAGATCTCGTTGACTCCATACGGGAGATGTACCCATTCTCTTCTTATGATGCCTTCGGTAAGCAATGGTTTCCCAGGTAGGATTCAGACCTATCGCCTACAGAGAGGAAGCTCCAATTTGATTGCGGAACCCTGAAATTTGGAGATTGCCTAGTATGATAGTTATTTTTTGTGCCAATATGGCTCCCATAGGAACATGTGGATGGAGTTTTGCCTGTCAATCAGGTCGCAGCTTGATTGGAGGGCGACAGGGATAAATGGCTCTCCAAGGCAGGCCTCTTTCTCTTTCTCCCCAGAGGTGGCCACACACTCTCTCTCTCTGCTTCGCTTTCCTGTGGCTGAGACCTGCCATGTGGCTGAGACCTGCCATGTGGCTGAGACCTGCCAGAGCCTTGTGTTGCTTTCACTGCCAATGGATCCATAAGACTGCACCCGCCAGCCTGTGATCCTCTTGCATTCGCCATCATTTCATGTAGCTGTGTGAGTCTGAAGAGGGATTTATGGACTCGTATCAGACTTATGGACTTGATTTGGACTGAGCTTGGCTGTTTTCTTGATATCCAAATACTCCTTGATATAAAGCTCTTTCTCACACATATATGAGTATCGTTTGATTTATTTCTCTAGTCAACCCAGCCCAACACACATTATATCCACTGGTAAACAGATGTGTTTACTGTCTCTGTCTTTCTCCATAGGCTGAGCCTCCCAGAAGAAAATAGCCAAGGGATTTATCTCCTTAATCTCCAGTAGTGCTTAATTTCATGAGTATGATGAGATGTCTGAGGTTTAGAATGATAATTTATTTAATAATTATAGGAATTTCCAAGGAAAACATGGGTTTCTGTAAAGAGTGGCCAATATGCAATATTCTTTCTTATCCTGGATGCCAAAGAGTCCATACATGGTGCAAACAGTTAAGCACTGGACTATGACCAAAAGGTTAAAGGTTTTAACTCTTTAAAAGACAAGTCTGGCAATCTGCTTCTGAAAGGTCAAAGATATTTGAACTCTGACAGACATAGGGTCACTCTGAGTCACAAGTGATTCAATGGAAACCAACAACAAAAATTGGCTGAAAGGTTGGTGGTTGGAACCCACTCAGGAACACACGGAGAGATAGGCCTGAATATCTGCTCGGAAAGGCCCGAGCCTGAAAATCCGGAGGGAGGAACCCTGCTCTGTAGCCATAAGTCACAGTGAGTTAAAAGACCCACGGAGATTAATTTTAAAATGACATCTGTAGCATCTACTCTTCACATGAAAACTACCCTGGACAATGTATCAAATTAACAATACAAAGGTCACACTTTGAATTTTGGGAAGTTTCTAAATTGGCCATTGTTATGAATGCTGTGAAAAGAATGATATTGGAAATTTTATGACATCATACAGGAAGGGGTTTCCTCAGACATTTGTGCAATTTTTCTCATTTATGCAGTATAAAGTAAGGGCATTTTATGTAAAGTAGCTTTAAAAAATCATTTTCTTTGGGATATTTAATCCTTTTCTGGGCTAGTCAGACGGGGAAATGAGTGCTGAATTGTCGAAGTGAAAACCAGCCACTAAAAAAAATAAACAAATAAGTGATGACAAAATTATTTCCCTTGAGGGAAGCCAAAAGCTTTAAAAACACTTCAGAGGCATGATTGCGGCTCTGTTTTAATATTCGTGGGTTTATCCCCATCAAATGGAAATGCAGGGAAGAGTTGAATATGTGAGAACTAGTGTTAAGCCAGATGGGGGATCGGGTCTGAGCTTTGGTTAAGGCTAGAGGAGGGGTAGGGTGAGATGAGACACTGATGAAGAAAATAATTTCTGAGAATTGTTTAGGAACTGGTTAGTTTAGTGGCATGATATTCAATTCATTTGTAAGTGTGAGAGAGGGTCAAACGCCTTTCATAAAAAAAAAAATTCCTTTCCAGTCTCAAAAATAACTACAAAAAATGGGACATTACATTGTGAAATATCAAGGCTGGATTCTAAGCATTTTAAAATTATAGTGAATCACTTCCTCAGGTAAAGCAAGTGCTGCTTCTCAGGAAGGTTGGGACGGTCACGTCGATAACAAGACGATACAAAGTGCACAGTTCTTGAGGACTCCTGAGTCAGATCATTGCCAGGGACACGAAGAACAGACTAACCCCCTTCGTGACTCTTTTCTTCTTCCCACTGCTGAATCCTCTTTCTCTTTCCTTTTACAATCAGCGTTCTTTAGATTTGTCTTAACTTGAAACTTCCAATTTTTCTTCACCTTTTCTGTCTTAAGTATAGCTGGGATTTTCCCGCCACCACTTGACAGAAACTCCTCGAAGCAAAGACATCACGGTCATTTCTCGGTCATTGTCTTACTTGACCAGTCCTTGACTTTCAGCATAATTAAGTCCTTATTCCTCCAAGACACGCTTTCATCTTTGGTTTCGTGACACCACATTTGCTTGTTTTTTCTCTGACTGCTGGTTCTCTACCTCTTTGTTCATTCCTCTTCAGCTCCCCAATCTTAGAGTGCTCGTGGGCTCTCCAGGCTCATTTCTCTTTTTGGTGACTAACATCCATCGCCCTCATAATCTCATCCAGTCTCACGAACTGAAACAGCTGACATGTCGACCCGATTATTTCACATTAGATCTCCAGACATATCCCTTCGATTT